TTAATTTTTATATTAAATAATTATTCTCATATTGTATATAAGCTCATGAAATTGCTTTGGTAGAGAGAGAAAGAGCTGGGCAATTTCTTTCTTTGTGGCTCTCCATCTCGCCTCTGTCGTCGATGGCCACTAATCAACGCGCCTCTCCATCACCCCTCTTACTCCTCCTCCTTTCCTTGCTGATCGGCGCCGCCGCTGCTCTTGCTAGTCGTCATCGTTGGCCTTTCCAACGTTGCTACTCCTCTCACCGTTGCTGCTTTTCTCTCTCTAGTTTATGTTTTCTCATTCACTGTAAGTTCTCCAATTCCTTCCCCAACCCCATGAACTTTTGATATGCTAGTTAACCTTAACCACGTGCATTGCACTCTTTGTAACCAATGAACCATTCATTTTTTATGGAATTTTTTTGTTGTTGGAATAGCTTGTTGATATTGTGATTCTTATCGTACCATTTTCCTTGTATGTCAAATGTTCGATAAAATGTGTCAATGGAAAACTTTTGTTATTTTTATTTTATCTTTTAATTTTTAGCCAAACAGCGAAAAATAAGAATGATGATGAAACTTTTACGGTAAAATGCTCTCTTTATAAACCCCCCTTTTTTTTTGCCCTAGTTTTTGTGTATATTATATGCATCATTACACTTTCTGATTATCTATGTGTTGTTTTCCTTAGATTCATGATAATCTATATGGCAAATTATGGAGCCTATATTTCATCTACTATGTAGATTTTAATTTTTATATGTTATGCTTAGTGTTTGAAATCATTCAATCCAAACTAGGTGTTAATGATTTGGGGAGGTTGAGGCTCAAAATTCTGTTCCGGAGTTTGTGGGTCATCCACGGTAGGGGGATTATTCATGTGGGTATGGATTATACATTTTTAGGATTTTTTTTCCTGGTCAGGCTTGATGGTAAGGTAATGCTAACGTTAATTCATGTTGGTATGGATTATAGATTGCATATTGACAACATATTTATGTTAGTTAGTTATCTCAAAATGGGATTTCTTTATCAGCTGTTATTGGTGGCTTGTATATATGCATTTTGTGCATGAATTACATAGCAAATGTAAACATGGCCATGATTACCACGTGCATGCTTCTCTAGTAGTATAACTAGATACGTTGTGCTTTGATTTATAAAGCTTGAGACAAAGAGAATATTGCTTAATGTTTTCAAAGAGAAGCAGCAAAAGAGTGCTGAAGCTGGCACAATTCCAAGCTTCTAAAAGAAGGTAAGCATTGTTATTGGTGCTTAGGTATTTGAATTAATATAGGCCAGGTGATTTTGTCACTTTCTTTCTTTGGTATCTACTTGGATAGAACTTGAGTGCAAATGCTAAAGGGAGAATGTCCCTTATTTTCATATAGTTTTGATGGTTTCGTTAATGTGATATTGTTTTTTTTTATTTTCATTTTTTTTTTCCGTATTCTGTACTTGCTTTAGCTCCCCCTTATTTTGTTTTCTGTTTCCCCTTTGTTTAGAAACCAGAAAAAGGGTCCATCAGTCACAGGGTCCAGAGGGTGGCTATATATCATTTTCTAAAGGTATCATTTACACTTTTCCTCATTTGTTGACTGTTGATAGTCATCATCACTTAATCAATTCATCTTTGGCAGATCAAAACAAGCATATATCTCTTTGTCTCTTGGTGTGATATTGGGACTCCATATTGCCATTTTTTTTCTTTCTAGATTGAATCTTAAAAAGTTTATTGAGTTGTGCAAGATTTCAATATGATTTCATTTGTAGTGACTAATTATTTGGTTTAGTATTAGGATGTGGATTGGCAATAATTCATCATTCCATACATGCAGAAACAATTTGATCTTTTACTAAATGTTGATGATCTGGATGTTCAAAATAAAAAAACACCACACTAATTATATGGCACTTGTACATAATTAATTCTAGATATTCAAAATATGGAGTATGAAAATTTCAAGTTACTTTTCCTCATTAATAGTTGTTTGAGATTAATCAAGCATTCTCCAATAGAAGTTTTCATCTCTTTTTTTGTTGCATACATGACTACTAGTAAATATATTACAAAGTTTCGAAACATAGAAATCAAAAATACATATATGATTCTTTTTAAAAATAGATTTCACCAATCAATCTTGTAATATCTTGCTCGTCCATATATTTTCTATGCCTAATTCTATATTTGATTTCTATGCTACTACACTCATTGGCTCACATATGTCCTTGACAGTAGGCCTAATAATCTTTAAATGGTTTGTTTTACTTCACCCATATTTGCTACAGAACATTTTTTTGTTTTTGTTTTTGCTAATAATTCAATCTTGTAATATCTTGCTCGTCCATATATTTTCTATGCCTGATTCTATATTTGATTTCTATGCTACTACACTCATTGGCCCACATATGTCCTTGACAGTAGGCCTAATAATCTTTAAATGGTTTGTTTTACTTCACCCATATTTGTTACAAAACATTTTTTTGTTTTTGTTTTTGCTAATAATTTTTGGATATATATTAGGTGGGACTGCAAGTTATCTACTAGGAATGAGTAGATGTATTGCAGCTCAAGCAGACGAAGCAAGCAACCCAATCAATGTGAAGAATCTATCTTTGGGTTGGATGATTGGTTTTCTTTTTCTTGTCAGCTTTGTTGGTCTCTTTTCAATTGTCCCCCTTAGAAAGGTATAATAATAATAGATTATTACAACAAACCAATTTTAATTTTAATAATATATTTTATTGATAAGCTTTTTAATTTGTAATTTTTTTTGAATTGTTTTTCCTCTCCTCCTCAGATGATATTACTCAAGTACAAGTTAACATACCCTAGTGGAACTGCAACTGCCTACCTCATCAACAGCTTTCACACTCCCAAAGGAGCCAAACTAGCCAAGTAATTAACACTATCTCTTACCCTAATCTTATTTAATGTATCTATTTAAAACTAAAATTGATATTATTTACCATACAATGTAACTATTTAGAACTAAAACTGATATTACTTACCACTTGGCCCTTAGTGCCTCATGAAGCATTAAGTTTGAGATTCAATTCCCATTGAAAAAATTATTAGATAGTCTTGGAGCATCACATGGTAATACTCCTACCAATTATCAAATGTCAAATCCCTCATTGTTCTCCTATTACCAAACACCAAATTATAGGATCCACTCATTGTGCCAATCACAATATTCCTGGACACTACCTAGCCATGCCCCAAGACCACCACATAACTTCTCCTCCCATTGAGTGCTATCAATTGCTCAGGGACTATGCATGTGAGCATAGTCGAAGATTTGCCTAACTCACATGGAACGAAATGCTTTGTGTGAGTCTTGAGATTAGTCGAGTACACCCAATGAATACTTTGACCCTTCTATGGATAATGTAGGAAAAAAGAGAAGAAATATGTATACCACACTTTTTCTAACAAAAACAATTGACTTCTAACATTTAGGTTTATTCATATTCTTGATCTACAATTTTTCCTTTTACTTTTATCTTTTTTTTAAATTTTAAGTTGTGAGGCTGGTGGGGGAAAATTATCAGAATTAGCATCTTGTTTATTTATTTTTTAAAATTTTTTTGGGAGCTAATGAGTTAATTAATTTGGATGCAGGAAACAAGTAATTATGCTATTCTATTCCTTCTGTGGTAGCTTTACTAATGCACTTTTTCAATGGTTCTTTGCTGTTGCTGATGGCTGTGAATTTAGTAACTTTCCCACATTTGGTCTCAAAGCCTTTAGCCAAAGGTTAGCTCTTTCTCAACTTTTCCTAATAATCATTTTATTATTTTATTACTTACTGCTTGTTTAAGTAATATTAGTGAAAGGAAAATGATTTGAAAATGAATGATATTTTTGAATTTATGAGAATCATATATAAAAACTATGTTTATGTATCATTATTCTTATTGAAATTAGTGATAGGAGGATGGAATGTCCTTTGGGATGGAAGGCTTTATACCTTCTTGATATTGGCACACCATAACCTAATGTCTTCAAACTTAACCATGCCCAATTTAATGTTATTCAGTTGTTTTATGAATACCGAAAATTTTCATTAAAATGTATTTATGACTCATCATTTATCTCAAATCTGTATTTGTCTAACATGTGTAATTAGATATTCACCCATAAAGTGTATTAAGTAATTTGAGTTAATAAGGCCTGTTAATACCAAGGTGCCTAATTATTGCAAAAAATTATTATAATAATTTTTTCTTTGATAAGTAACAACAGTAAAATGAGTAACACAAGTATATAGGAAAATAGAAACTTAACCACCACCACTAATAGCATAAACTTCATATGAAAAAGAAAGGATTCAGAACAATGGATAAACAAACAGTGGCTAGTGTGAACTTCAACATAAAGACAACAGGCAACATAGCATACAAATTTTATCATTTTACATGTAGTTGGTGACATTAACAGCTGTCATTAAGCCACTTTGTTCTGAATTGATTCCCAAGGGTGTGTGCTTTGCTATCCCCCTTGCAAACCACTATGTTGATAATTATTCTGTAATTTGGCTTCTCATGAATGATTCAAGAAGTTTGCTTTGAGGAATTTTCATCTGGATTTGTGGTGATATTAAAAGATTCTAATATACTGCTCAAAGGAGTAAAATTTTAAAATGGCAGCCAGTGGAAATATAACTATATTTGTAATGACCGACTCAGCTAAGTTGCCCATCAGTTCCTAATATTTTTTATATTATTGGTTTTACTTGTGTCAAATAGAATATTGAAATATAGAAGTTGGAGAAAAGATGAGAGCATCTGCAATGGAGTGGCTAAAAATGTGTTTTATTGAGAATCTGTTTGACGTGGTTGTGATTCATGTGATGATTGTCAACACTTATACTATGCTCCTCGTGGCAGGTTCTGATGAACTTAACAAATGACAACCCTATGTGCTGTCAGGAAATTGCTGCCTGTGGAGGACTGGGGAAACCTTGTCTTCATTGATTGCTGGCCACTTTCCATCTTTCAGTTCATCTTTGACTCCCTTCAGCGATATAAGAAATGATATTTGTTGTCCAAGTCTTAAGACATTTGAAAGGGTGTGATCGGTAGGACTTTATCTTTTGTAAAACTAGAACAATCTCTACAAATAATTAGTTTATTCATATGCTTCTAGCGGTTTCTGAATTAATTTTTGTTTTCATTTTTCAGGTTAGAAATTCTTGGAGAGATGTAAAATATGGTCAAAGAATTCAAGAACTTAGTTTTTTAAGTTTTTTCATTTTTTAATATATGTAAGCATGGTTTAAAACTTTTTATTTAATTCCTTTGTATATATTTTTGAACACATTTAATTTTCATTTATGAAATATATGCCATTATTCTATTCAATATGTGGTTGTGATTCAAAGTATAGTATATAGTGTGTATTACATTCTTGAAATGTGCGTATAAAAATAATATTGATTATTCTTCAAATATGTCGAATTTTTTTTTATTACAGGTTTTATTAGTTATTAATCACAATTAAAAGATGTGATCTAAATGTTATTAATCACACTTAAAAGGTGTGATCTAAATGTTTTTAATCACACTTAAAATGTGTGATCTAAATATTTTTAATCACACTTAAAAACTGTGATCTAAATGTTTTTAATCACACTATAAAGATGTGATGAAAGCATTTTTTAATGACACTTAAAAAGTGTGATTAAAAATGACCCCTTTTAATCATACTCCCAAAGACCACACTTTAATAAAACTTAAAAGGTGTGATTAAAAAACATACATCACACAAAAAAAGAGTGATCTTTATCTGTATTTGTAGTAGTGAATCTCTTTACTTTCCTACTACTACTATAGCTATCTAATATTCATGTGTTAATCATTTGATTTACCATGTATGTTAGTTATACTTCATTGTTATTTTGCTTGATCATTTACTGCTAAATTCATCATTGTGCTTGTTAATAATTTGTTGTACTAATAGTTAATTTTATTGGGGTATTATTAATTTTAAATTGTAGAAACCTAATTCACCCCTCCTCTTAGGTTGTTTTTTGGGTAACAGAACCCTTACCTAGAGATGAAGGAATTGAGCTCTAACAATCTACTTCACTTTCTCTTCTTAAACTAGCATTTCTCTCTCTAAAAAAAAAAAAAAAACTAGCATTTCTCTCTCTCTCTCTCTCTCTCTCTCTCTCTCTACGTGGGTCTGTTGGTGTGAAGAAAAGATGACTCCACCAACTACACACTCTCTCTCTTCAATACCTATTAGATGGATGAGTAGGATGTATTTTATTTAGTTCATCAATTATTTGATTTAAATTAAGGATTTAATCAGATTAAATAAAATTCATATCTATACAAATTAAAATTAATCCTCTACATATAATAATCTCAATTGTACTAATTTAATTATACTAATGTGAAATAGACTCTAATTGCTTAATTAATTATTTAATTATAACTTGCTAAAATTAGCGAATCAGACATGTTTAATTTCTATTCTCACCTATCTGTTTAATCAAGCAAATCAATAATTTTTCAAGGCAATCAATAGCACTTAATTACATAAACACTTAATTAACAATATACATATGCAATTGTCACAACAAACTTGATAGAAAAAACACCAGTGACACTTGTCACTTTCTTGGTAACTTATTAGTATCTTGGTTTAGCAAAAAGCAAAATTATGTTGCTTTATCAATGGTCGAAGCTAAATATATAGCTTCCGGAAGTTGTTGTGCGCAAATACTTTGGATGAAACAACAATTGGAGGACTTTGATTTGCATTATGATCATATCTCTATTAAATGTGATAATACTAGTGCCATCAATTTAAGCAAAAATCCAATTCAACACTCACGAACAAAACATATTGAAATTTGACATTATTTTTTAAGAGATCATGTTGAAAAAGGGGATATTGTACTTGAATTTGTAAACACCGACAAGCAATTGACGGATATTTTCAAAAAATCCCTAAGCGAGGATCGCTTCAATTTTATTTGTGGCGAGCTTGGAATGTCGATTTCTACTTAAAAAGTTTTGTTATGACTATGAAACTCAAATTTTTGTTAAAATGATATATGTGTATTGCTATATTGATATGGAAACATTTATATCAGTTAAATGCTCTCAAGTCCTTCGTACATTTATTCTCCTTAACAGTTTGCTATTCTCAACTATGTAATTTTTTTTGGGTTCTGCATCTTGAGATAAAATTAACTTTGCATACATTGATTTTCTTTAAAACCCTCATGGTATTTTTTTTTTTGCATTACCCTTCCAGCAACACCGACGTCCCATTAAGTATAATTTCTGCTGGTATTATTTTATTTTAATTTATTTTTTTATTGCTATTAGGCTTAATATCTTTTTTTTTAATTTTATTTATTTTTTTTTTTTGTTTTACTAATAGGTTTCATTTCCTTTATTATTTGTTTTCTTTTCTTTTCATTATTTTTTTTGTTGTTTTGCCCTAAGGCTTAATTTCAATTTTTTTTTTTTTCTGCACTTTACTTGTCACGGCCCCATTCCGCCCCTAGAAGAATGGTGCCATGATGGCCAGTAATTCGAGATTACCAAAGGCCAACTTGGGAAGATTCACACACAAACAGAGTATACATATGGGGCTTACATGTGTAGAAGCAATAATTTAATTCTAATTAGTCCATAAGAGCTGTGCATAAATCAAATGAAATGACATACATCATATCGAGGTCTTACAATCTTGAATACAAATGAATAAGTACATAATACATCTTGATCAAAAGGCTTCTCAAGCCGACATATGCAAAATACAATGAATCACAAGCCAAGAAGCATAGTCTTCAAGATGCTATCAAAAGTATGAATCCAAAACATCATGCCAAATGCATCTAGGCGTCACCGCCGTCCTGCTCATCACCTACATATATATATATAAAGAGGGTGAGCTTGGATACTCAGTGAATGATATTATCAATAAAGGGGTTTGCATGATTAATATCCGAGATCTTTATCAAACCAAAACACATCATATCTTGTACGGAATCAAAGGGCAAATCAAGTTCATCTACCAAATCTTTCAAGTCTCAAAGGATGCTTACTAGCATCAATAATACAAGGGATGACATAATCAAAAGTGCTACGAAAGTTTAGAGTCCCCTAGCACGTACTGACTTGTGCCACAAACGCTTATAGTCCCCTAGCACGTACGGACTTGTGCTACAAATGCTTATAGTCCCTTAGCACGTACGGACTTGTGCTACAAATGTTTATAGTCCTTTAACACGTACGGACTTGTCAAGAATGTTATCAAAACCAAAACTAATACTTCATACACAAAGTAGGGATAGTTATTCATGCTTAACAAATACTTTTCCAAAACAAGCAAGGCAAAGCTTTATCAAATGTCATAACATAACTTTATTAAAAATACCACTCATTTAGTTCTTCAAACGTCGGGGTCAAAGCAAGAGTCCAAGTCCTACAAACACATGGCAAATTCTATTGAGTGCACTCTCAAACAAACTTTACATGAATGCAAATGATCTCGGCGTTCTTTCAAAACTAAGTCGGACCAAAACAAAACACTGTTTCTCATCTCGGGAAAACATAATGGGCACCAACTAGGTCTTAGCCGAGGTCCCACACCTCCTTGTCGAGGTGTGGTCCCGATGGCCATATTCAAGGAAATGAAGTCGGGAAAATCTGGGTTTCCCTCTGCTGAAGAACATGAAGAACATGAAAAACATGAATGCTCAATATCACAACTTGTTATTATGAAATCTGGGATTTCATGAGATGAGTTCGAAAACATGGACCTGGGTACCCATACTTGAAGGTCTTATGAAGACAAACACGAAAACATGAATCTTGATGCAAGCTTTCGGATCAAACAAGGCTTTTATTCAAGAACACATGAATATCACTTTCTCTTTCTAAAACCAAACTTTAAATCAATGCATGGCTTACAAATCGTGCTCGATCATGCAATGCAGCTAGATGAACAATAAGAACAACAAGAGTAGATCAAGATTCTAACCTCAAGACACGAATCTAACGGCTCAAGGTGTGAAGATCAAGCTTGGAAATCTATTCTCTCCCTAAGAACTCCTCATTCTTCTTCCTAGAGCCTCTCTCTCTAAAAGACAAGGATATGATACAAAAGTGATGTGTTTCTCAACAGCGCACTGACTTACCCTCTGCTGGGACACGTGGCACCGGCCGGTTAGCTCTTCTCAAAAAGGTGACTGAGTGGAAAGACAAGACTATGACAAAGTGTGCTCAACAAGAAAGATGGCATAGGCACTCCGACAGGTAATGATCTCGGCTAAGGACAAGGCTTCGGCAAGGAAGATCTAAATGGTCTCGGCTAGGAAGGACAACACTTGACTTAGCTGTGCCACACCTTGGTCTAGGTCATACCAATCTAGGAACAAGATCACTAGGTGCAAGGGTAACATCGCGCCCTAGATAAAACACATCTTGGCCAATGTGCCACGGTGTGAGTGGAGGTTAACCAAAATATTCCAAGATAGTCCTAGGTATAAAAGATTCAAAGGTGCGACCCAGGCTTAGGATGACCTCGGCAAAACTCACACCAAGCAAGGAACAAAGCATGCAGTAACACTTAGTCAAAACAAAGGCAAGATTTGAAATGCAAGCTTAACAAGACAAAATCATATAAATGCATGAGAGCATGACTAAGATGAAGTGAGGGTTGTTATATTACTTTTATCTTCAAGCGATTACATTAAACATAAAAACAAACACAAATCAAAATATACATATTTTCATAAATAAAAAAAAACAAAAACAAAAAAAAAATCCCCTCATTTTTCCGGTCATTGGCCGACCTCACTTACTTGCCTCTTCCACCGCTCTCTTCTTCTTTTTATCACCTTGGGCGACGCTTGACGTCCCTGCCCCCGTGTTTTCGTCGAGAGCGAGCACTCCCCGCCGACTATCAAAAGCCAAGAACAACGTTGCTCCAAATCGGGCCATGAAGGTGATCTTCTGTTTAAGCTCTTTATTTTCGGCCTTTAGTGCGCCTATCTCTGCTCGCTCATCCTTATACATGTGCTGGAGCAGAGAGAGTTGGGCATTGACCTGATGGAGCTCACTCGTCCTGTTCTGCAGACGGTGAGCCAATTTTGTGACTGCAGTCACCGTCTCCATACAGGACGTCAGTGTGAAATGATTGGCTTCTATGTCTGATTGAGCTGTCATTATTTGCTCAATTGGCATCATAGGAAGGTTGGAAAGAGTAGGAGGCAGGGCACTCGGCCCAGCAGTGCTTACGGAATCATTCAGGTCCGAAAAGAGAGTAAGGGGGACAGGACG